TTACTAAATGTTTTAAGTTCATGAGTATTTTCAAATATAAGTTGTGTAATGAAAATTATTTATATGATGATGAAAAATTTTATATATAGAAAGAATTTGTTTAGTTTATTATTAAATATTTTGATTCTATGAACTATAATTTATTATAATTTACATAAATTGATTATATATTTATTTATAGATATTAGTAAAATTATTAAGCCCGCAAGTGCGGGCAAAACACCTAGTGGGTCATTAAGTAATCACTAACATCTCTTATATATTAAAAGAGAAGTATTGTAAAAAATGCGCTCACATTACAAAAGACATGTGTCAGTTTTATAGCCGTTTCAGAACGAGAATGCTGACGTGTCACGTGTGGAGTGCTTCTCAACCAAATTCTACATAAATGCGTTTACACTATGAATTTTACAAGTTTTTTTCCAATATAAAACTCACATAAGATTCCATTAAAATTACACTATCCGGATTTTTTCGGTTAAAATCAAAACGCATAATGAATCGAAAATCTAATTATATACATATATATATATATATAAATTGTTTACATATAGGGCTGGATAAAATATTTATAAACTTTTATTCGATTTTTTTTTTGTTTTGATTCAAACAAAAAATCTGAATATTCGTTACTCAATGAGCAAATCAAATACAAAAATGTTATATCAATAAAAAAATGAATATCACAAATACTAATATTTTAGAAATAATTATCTGATTCTATCCGTTATATGCATATATATACATATAATTAAAGAATTATATATATGTCATATATATTATAGCTTATATGTATTTTACAATATTTTTATGTATTAAATTTATTATATTAGGTATTAGAATTTTAAATTTTAAATAAGGTTTTATTTTTGTAATAAAATATTATTATTTTTAGTTTTTAGATTTTTGTTTTAACTTTTAATTTTATTTACGAATCAAATCGGATATCCGTTAAAATTCTAACTTTTTTTGGATATTCGTGACACCAAATATTTGGCTCGTCTACGGATCTAATCGACACAAATACCTTTGAATACCTGGATACTTGATTCGTGTCCACCCTTATTTACGGTTACAATATTATTTTCTTTATATGAAAAAATTCACTAATATATAGGTCTATTTTATTTTTAATTAATTTATAATAAGAATTTTATCTTTCAAGTGTTATGTTGAACAAAAATATTATTTAATATTAATTCACATTATCTTTATATATTTATCAACCTCCTCTATATACTTTTATATAAATATATATGTGCATATTTACATGAGTACCTATATAACTGAATATTCACCACATGTAAAGTATATAATTCTTTTGGAACTTGGAATGTGCTTTTCTTAATGTTTTTTATTCAGTATTGACCAAATTGTAGTGAACTGATTTATTTTAATATTTTTTCGTTTTCTTTAACTATCACCCATTTAGAAACTATAATAGGAATTCCATTGACATCATGACTATCTAAAATTCATATAATATGAAACCAAACAAATAATAATAATATTTTTTTTGTTATCAACGAAAGAACAAAAAATATCAAACATTTTTAATCGAACAAACAAAAACAATAATTTATTTAGAAGGAATGTTTATTCTAGGAGATTAAAAACAAACAAAAAACATAAACTTAAAACTGAACCAATATTCCGATTCGACAGATTTTATGTCTTCTTATTAAAAATAACAAATTAATAATCATATTCTACGCAATAAGCGGATTATTAACTAGTTCACATATTATGACAGAAAAACAAACGATGAAAATTTATTGTTTAAGAAGTTCCAAAGAAAGAATCAATTGTTCTACGAAACGAAAGAAGGAAAGAACCTAACTTTTTCTGGTCGCAGATACACTTGTACTTTGTACACACTTTTATAAAAAGATTGAGACAAAAATTGAGATGACTAAAAGTGAACGAAAAAAGAAATTAAAAGTGAGCAAAGAAACTCCACTGTTGTTGGAAGATGAAAAGGAACCAAAGATTATAAGATATAAAAGGACCAAAGTGATGTTATGAAGAAAAGCTAAATTACATGTCTTGTGTTATGTTTCAGTAATCAATTGGTCAGAAATGAGACTTAAGGCTTTTATTTGACACTAGCTGACGACCAGGGCCGTGTGCCTGACATAAAACTGACCCCAAGCACAAATAATTCTATGGCCATTTTACAATGAACTAATAGAAAATAAAAAATCTATTCTTACCTTAAGAAGGGGACGTATCGAACTTCTCACCTCTAATCCTAATAATTGTTCTTGTATCCAAATGATCTAGAGAAGATTTTGTAAAATTATGGGCCCTTTAATTACTTAATCTAATCCAGGGCCCCAAGCAAATGCTTTAGTGGCTTCCGTTCAGGCACGGCCCTGCTGACGACAACGATCAGCGATACCCACTAGGGGAAGGTTTTAGTATATGGTTTAATCGTTTGTTCAAGAATGTAACACTTTTTTTTTTTAAAGAATGTAACACTTATTTAACTACCTTTATTGGGTGATTTACGTTTTGAAAATTTGTCCTCTAAGGGTAATCTCGATAGTTCCGTAGTTGGAGTTGTTTTGTTTGTTCTTAGCCTTGGATTCGAGTAGACTACAACGTGGAATGATGGAGGTTTTACTTGGTTTCAGTATTTCAGTATTACTGAAGATTATCTAGAGAGAAAATGAATATCAGATAAATAAATACCTCTTCAAGCATGAAAAATTGACAAATATCGTTAGCTCAGCTGTAAAAAAATTATAGACAAAATCTAGAGATTACATGCTTAAGTAATGTTGAGACAATGCGTTTCTAAACCTTTTTGATATTTTAAAAAAAGTTATAGATGACTATGTCTTTTTTATTGTCTCTTTTGGTCTCAATTATCTCCGTGCTCGATCAGAAAAGAAAAGAAAAGAAAAGTTGAATGAATGATGAATTTTAATTTGAAAGATATATATTAAAGGACATTTTATGTGGGATCAAAGGTTTCTTGGCTAGTAAGGTTTTGGCTAGTAAGAGCAGATCCAATAGGAGATTCAATCTGGGCTTTACAAAAATATAAATAAATATATATATATATACAGTAAAACCTTTATAAATTAATAATGTTGAGAATACACCAATTTTTTTTTAATAATTTAGAGGGATATTAATTTATCGATATATAATCGAACAAAAAATTCAGTTTGGGACTATAAAATTATATTATTTTATAGATATTTAGTGTATATTAACTTATCGAGTATTAATTTATAAAGGTTCTACTGTATATATATATTTAGTTTTAAAATTCTAAATTTTATGGGAAACACAGTTCAAATATTTTTATAGAGAAATTCTGAATTATAGTAAAGTTAGAAAAATAAATACTAAATTAAGGTTATGGTAAGGAATCTCACGATATTTTTATTTATTTTAAGTTATTTTTTTTCGTTGACTATACCTTTTAAAATATTCTCTTACAAATATCTGATGGAGAATTCCCACCTATGAATTCTAAAATTACATATATGTTTAATTATGAGTATTTTAAAACTAGGAAAAACTCTATTTAAAGTATCTTAACCGAAATACTTTGGATTAGGTTTTCCACAATTTTAAGATATTCATAATTAATATTTTTTTTTGGGTCAACTATTAATATTAATATTTATATTATATATATATATATATATATATATTTTGAGAACTTATGGTTGAGAACTCACTCATTGAGAGTGCTAGGATTGTTTATTTTTAATATAAAAATGATTAAAATTTGAATCTGTTAAAAATATAGATTTAATCCCGGATAGAAGATTTAGCTTATGGATAGACTTTTTTTTTCTGGATATTCAAATGGATAGTAAATAATAGATTATATTTGCATGACTACATATAGAGTTAATAATTTTGCACTAGAGAGGAGTGATCTCTGACCTCGATCAAATGACAATTCCACCACGTTAAGGGTGCTAGGATTGTTTTTTTCTCTTATCTGTCTGTGTCAAAGAAAGATAGGTTTGGTTTACTTTGTAATACATAAAAACGGCTTTCCAGTTGTTGACCAATCTTATAAAGCCGTGATATAGCCGTCTCTTCTAGATTTTCATGTACTTTATTAATGTTATCAAAAGTATACATTTGAAGTGAAAATGTACCTGAAGAGAGTGAATGCAGACACAATGCTACCAACATGTAGCAATATTGTTTAAATGTATGGTGCACCGTGCACAACATCTAGTAGTCAAATGAATAGATTACATATCTTCACTGGCTTAAGCTATGTTGTAACATCCAGTTCAATGTTTCGTCTCACAAGTATTTAAAATAAAACTAAACTAACAAAACGGTCTCATTTGATTTTAGTTTGCCACCGTATATTTTATATTTGTTTGTAAACAGACGAGTAAAACTATTGCAAATCGAAGAAATTAAAGTTCCACGATTCAGCTATGCGTTTTACCTTTTTGAACAAGAAAAATAATGACTTTCATATCCTATGTTTTGTTCATCAGCAAACCTCTCTACCTGTTGAATCTAAAATAAAAATTTGTATATATTTTCAGGCTTTCAGCATTCCTCCATTTAACCTAACCTCAATAAGATGGTTTTAGATATCACATATCAGTATAATTGTGTAGTACCAATAGAAAATGTTACCACAAAAACCTATAGCATACTTATTCTCATAAATATCTCATTATGCTAAGAGACCAGAAATAAAAATCCAAGTGAAAGAAACACTTTAATAAAATATAATATTGTAATTTAAGTTGATTTTAGATATGTTCTTCGTGGGATTAGAAACTTAACAGTTACAGATAAGCTTGTCCTTGGTCTTCGCCAAATATAATCAAATTTAGAAAGTTTCACAAAAGAAATCATTATGGATCCACAAAGGTATCCATCCTCTTTTGCTTTTTCCAAAAGATAACAACATGTAACTGATGTCAGCATACCTAAAATATTTGTTTAACATATAAGTTTTGTGGATGTGTTGGTTTATAGTAGGAAATTGGAAAATTTTGTAATAAAACAAAACATACACCACCTCACTCTGTCCCCATCACAAACATGACTCAAGATTTGACCAACACCACTTATATATGTTCTTCATTAATACTATCTTGTTCACTTTTTAAATTACTGCATCCTCGTGGAGTCATGGTAAACAGAAAAAAAATCTCCGAATAGAAACACATAATTCATATATGAACGTCGGTGCATGGGGGTAAAAATGCTCTATTCACTGGAAATTATATCGTCTCTGAAGCAAGGAAAATGACTTTGAATTTTCATATCACTAATCACCTGCTTTAGCTCAGATGTTTCCTCTTTAAGCTGAACATTTTCTTGAAGAGCCTTTTCGTGAGACTCAGAGAGATTGTTAAGCTTATCAAGCAACTGATGATTCTCAACCCTAAACCACATCACCTGAGACCAAAGCTCGTCAAGGTGACGCTGCTTCCTCATACGCGATCTTCTTGCTGATTCTCTGTTTGATACCATCCTTCTCTGCTTCCGCTTGTTGATTATGTTTTTGTCCATATGCGGTTCCTCTGCTTCATCTGATGTCGAGTTGCTGCTTAGGCTCATGGATTGTGGATTGTTTGTAGCACTTTGGAATCCGTAGAAGGGGTTCAAGTTTAGACCGTTGATTGGATGTGGCGATGATATCGGAAAATGGGATGGATATGGTGATGGGTTCGAGGTGTTTATGTAGTTAAAAACGTCTGTTTGCGGCTGCATTTTGGAGTTGACGTGGGTAACAAGTAGTTTTTTTTCTTATTTTTTCGAGAAGAAAGGTTGGTGAAATAGGAAAAAGCTTCGGATATTTTGATGGAGTTATTGGTGTGTGAAGAGAGAAGATGGTTTTATAGAGCATATAGTCTAGGGCGTGGAGCCCATTTTCTGCAAAGGGATGAAGCAATAATATAGTTTCCAACATAAGAATTTAGTAAATATGCACCTAGATGGCTAGATCATGTCACATTAATTTATCTATATATGTATTTACATCTTAAACCATAACTGATGATTTAAGGTAAAACAAGAATACAATTTTCAATCAATTCATAAAAAAATTGACAAACTCGAGCAGGGTTGTAAAATTAATTGAATCTGGGTTTCTAAGAGATTAATTAACATTTCAATAATATGGTGTCTAGAAAGATAAAGAATGTTATTGACAAAATTCTTTTTCTCTTTATTCAGTCAAGAAAAATCTCCACACCGTCATCACACGGGAAGGACATGGGCGTTAAAGAGGTTTCATACGTCTTTCTAATTTCTTTTACCAAACCAAAATATGAACAATAATACCTTTGATATAATGGTACGTAAGGAGGTTTCTCCAAAATTTTAAAATGCATTTCTAAAAGATATAGCATCACTAACGATAATGGCGCCAGTTAACTTTTAGTGAGCAGAAAAGCAGAGTAGTTAATTTCTATAAGAACAAGATTGGATACAAAGAACTTTTAGTGTGTCAAGACTGTAGTTACTCGACCAAATTGTCACCCACATTGCATAAAGCAAAGATACCCGAGGCAGCTCAGCCGCAATCTTTGGCCTATCATGGATATATTTATGTGTATGATTTAGTATCATCGATCATTTCCACTAATTTTTATATCTAAACAGAGTGGATAATCATAACGAAATATCAGAGCATCGAGTGGTGCTGATATAGAATAGTATTCTACTTGTCATTAAAAACCTAATTGTGTTTTACGTCAATAAAGAAATTCGTCTTTTCTAGGCCATGGGAAAATTTAATAAAATAGTATTCTACTTGTCATTAAAACCTTTAGTAATCATGTCTCTAGTCTTAAACCATGATTTTATTTTTGACAAAGCAAAGGAATAAAGCAAGAGGGTTACAACTTGAATACATATCTTAAATCATGATTATTTTCTAAAAATCGGGAAAGAAAGAAACAAATAAAAACGAACGAATGAAAACCTAAACTTAAGGAGTATGATGTTTCCGAGAATGTTCATGAGTCATCCAATATGAATTGTTGAACATTTTTTATATAAAATTTTCAGAAAACACTCGGAAACGATCAAGCTGGGATCAATATATTTATTAATGTTGAACGGTGATGATGTTCTTTTATATCCCTCTATCACTGATTTATATGAAAGATATGATATTCTTTTTCATATTTTTGGATAGTTATAAATTTACATTAATTGGTATCTGTATATAAATCAATATATAGTAGAACTCTTATAAATTAATACTTGATAAATTAATAATTTTTATAAATTAATAAATTTCATCGGTCCCAAATTGGGTCGATTCAAAACTTGACACAAATAGATAAAATAATAAAATAATAATTTTTAAAATTTTTTATGTATATATGGTTTCATTAAAATTATAAATTAATAATTTCTATGTATAAATATTTTCTATAAGTAAAAACCTATCATTATATTGTTTGTTTTATATTTACAATAAATTATATTATATTTTCTTAACACTTAATTTATCTAATAAGATTACTACTAATCACTTCATTCTTAGTTAAATATACGTGTTGTACTGTCTACCATGGTGGGATAGATAAAAGTCGATGTACGTGACTTTGAAAACGCAATATACGCACCGTATGAGAGATAACAACAAAATCAAATCATATATATATATATATGATTAAGAAATGTTTATTTTTAATCACATTTGATTTTAAATTAGGTGTTTTTTCCCGCACATACGGGTTTAATGATTTTATAAATATCTATAAATAAATATGTAATCAATTTAAGTAACATTAAAATAAGTTATTATTTATATATTCAAGATATTTAATAATAATATTTTATATATATATTATGTTTTTCCATCATAATATAATAATTTCGATTACATAAATTAAATTTAAACACTTATAAGTTAAAATATTTAGTAATAAATTAATATCAAATTTTAAGATATGAAAAAAATTTGAGTATAATAAAATTATCTTTTATTGCGTAAATAAAAATATATAGAAAATAATATGTAGGAATTTTTTTTTAGTTTTATTTTTAAAATAAGATGAAAATTAGTTTTTTGGATAACACAATATAAATTATTTTTTATCTATAATTATCAAATGAATGAGTTTTTTTTAATTAATGATGAATTATAGATTAACAAATATAATTAGTTTTCAATGTTGATAAATATTTTATAACACAATATAAACAAATTAGATAAGGATAATTATAAAATTAATAAAATTCGTTTTTAATTTATAATCAATTATATATTAACAAATAAAACTATTTTCAAGATTAATAAAGACTATTTAAAACATTAGAAAATATTTTTAGATAAGGATAAATCTTAAACCACTGAAATTCGTTTTTATTTATAGCTAATTATATGTTGAAATTTTTTAATTATTCATTAAGGGTATAATCGATATTAACCACTCCAACTTTTAACGTGAGAACTCCGTTGCGAAAAATCACTTCACAAATAATAGTATTGATGAGTTTTTCTCTTTCTCTCTCTCTTGATTGAACTAAATGGTCAAAATATCAAGGAAAGACTTTTATTTCTTAATGGCTTGAGTTTGCTACCCCTCTTTTATGCCTTTTTATCCCTTTAGTTTGTTTTGCAATTTTTAGTCAATGATTACAAATTAAATTTAGAAATATGATCTGACTTACCATTTATTAAAGATGTATATGATAGTGCTTACACACAAATGCACAAGTAGGTAGTGAACCATGAACAGTTGAATACCTAGTAATGGGGATTTTTGTATTGATGTACCTTCTTTTCTTATAGGGAAATATGGCCCTGTGTACACAAAAAGACCCAAATTTCATCATCTCTTCTCTTTTATCTTTCTATCTTTCTCTACTCTCTCTTACAAAACAATTTTCTCTTTTTTCTTGGTTATCTCACAAATAACCTCTATTTTATATCTATTGACATACATGTGCATCATACAAGCTTTGACTCTACTTTAAATATGTCTACAATAAGTTTACCATGATAAATTAATAATTGATAAGGATAAGATCGGTCAAGCCATCAATAGCTCATCCTTTTTCTACTCGATTTCCAATACTCGCGAAGTCTCAAATTAATTCCCAAAGCTGCAGCCAGTCCATACTACCCACAAAGTGGCAAGTGCATTATGCATATATAGTAGATGAGGGCCTCGTCAAAATCTATTAGACTAACTAATGTAGTTACATAGTAGGTGTCCGTTTGGCTTTGGTTTATTTTCTTTTACAAATCAAAGAATTGGTCTGTATAATTTAATTAATTTAGAAATTTACATAATAATTAAAATCTTTTCAAAATTCCTAAATTTAGTTTGCATCGTAGTTCAAGACTCTGCCGTTGAGAGCGTAGTCATCTCTCCGACAGTGACAGTAAATCTTACCTTGTTATGGAAATTTCCTACCGATGTTGTAAAATTTCATGTAAGGATTCTTTTGCCTCTTTGTTATCTTTTAATTCTGTTGGGAGGAAAAGTAATGATATAAACTAAGACGTTTAAGCTTTTTTTAACATATATTTACATGAATACTCCAATAATGCCCTTGAATGTCTTAAACAGTTTTGTTCAATACACGGTATAATACCAGATACGCTTAAGGTTAGGGGATTTGGGAGCATTAACTTGGCGACAAAAAACACACCTCTAAAATGACGGCTTTGGCGGTGACTCAAGCAGTTCCGACATATCCAATGTCGTGTTATTTGATTCCACAAGGCATTACTGATAAACTAAAGAGTACGACTTCTAACTTTTGGTGGAGTTCAAAACAGAACATCAGAGGTTTGCATTGGATAGCATGGGACGAGATCTGTACCCCCAAAAATTTGGGGGGGCTAGGTTTTCGAGACCTCCATGACTTCAACTTAGCACTTCTTGCAAAACAATTATGGCGTTTGATCCAGTACCCGAATTCCTTACTGGCACGCACCCTAAAAGGCAGATATTACAACAATACCTTTCCCCTGGAAGATCGACGCACATACTCATCCTCATATGGTTGGCGCAGTATTATGGCAGCAAGACCTTTACTTATGTTGGGGTTACGAAGGACAATTGGAACAGGCCGCGATACGAGGGTATGGAGCGAGCCTTGGGTTTCTGACTCAGTGGCTCGGCCACCTAGACCCGCCGATCACATTGTCTATAGACTTCCCCAACTCCCTGTTCAGGCCTTTATTAGGAATGATACCAAGGAGTGGGATATCCAACTTCTACGAGAATTTTTTCAGCCAGATGATGTCCCGTTGATACTTGGGATAAAACCTTCCCGCTCCTCTGCTCTGGATGGTTATGTTTGGAATCACACAAAGACAGGAGTCTATTCAGTTAAAACTGGATATAATCTGCTCCAATTGAGTAAGACGAAGCTTATACATGATATGGTTCTCGAACCAAGCGTCAAAGGCCTTCAGAGTCATGTATGGACTCTAAAGGCTCCAAGCAAGATGAAGCATTTTTTGTGGCAAGCTATTACGGGCTGTGTGGCGACAGCAGAGAGGCTAACTTATAGACACCTGGGCACCGATAGGAGTTGTCCTAGATGTGCTGGCCCAGTGGAGTCGATTAACCATCTCCTTTTTGAGTGCCCCCCTGCCTTGCAGGTTTGGGCTTTATCGGACTATCCGTCCATTCCGGGTGACTTCCCGAGTATGTCTATTTACCAAAACATGAACTTTCTGTTTTGGAAGCGAAAAGAAGTGGCTCCTCGGAGTCCACAATTCGACACCTTCCCAT